GATCACTAGACAAGATCTCCCAACTTCATTACCAGCACCCAGAGCTGTGATGTGCAGAAGGTCATTTTCGTCGACAGCTGTGAAACCAAATTCTTTACGTTGCAAAGTCATAATAATAATTGAGAAAGCTAGACTATGACTTAACTATGGTATCAGTTCGTCGAGTGAACAATGATTCGAATGTTGACATAAATAATTTTTTTCCAAATAATATCACGTGACGCAGATCAAGTCGCTGCGCAAAATCGTAGTGCAAGAAGTTGATTTTATTTTATACATTAACTTAAAAAGAAGACCATTACACAGTAATTCTTTTCGTAAAAAAAAAAAAAAAAAAAAAAAGCATATCAATGAAATAATAAAAAGATTTCTCAGACTTTGTAATACATGCTATTTCGAATGATAAAGCTAAATTATATACAATGTGGTGACGTTTTGTTAACAAATGCATCATGTCAGTGTTCGCTACTCATCGATGTCGGATACATCTTCGTTTACGCCATCACCGACGTCCGTGAGGTCTTTCACAGGAGTGGAATCTTTAGCTAAAGAGCTAAGCTTTTCATACGAGGAAGTAGGATCAAAACAACCGGACCCAAGATTCAAAGGATTGGAAATTGGAGTCGAGGGCGGTGTAATGTGACCAGAGAAGAATTTTGAAGGCGTTGAAGAGATACTGCTAGCATTTTCGGGTGTAGTGTCTTTAACTTTGCGGTAGGATTCCATTTTTAATTCTTTTTGAAAGATGAGGGGTCACCTTGGGAATCGCTTTCTTTTAAATATCCAATTCACATTACGTCAGTATTATGTAAACGGAAATTTATCAAAGTCATTGCGTATATGTGATATAAGTGAGCGGATTGCAGAGAGATATAAGTTTTAAAAGGCTTAGCAAGAAGAATTTTGTTGAATCTAACTGTTGGCATCAAAACGAACAATCAAATCAATGAACCAGTTCAATCGAAACCTAGGGACTTGAGGTAAGGATAATATCGCGATTTCTATTAAATCACGTGCTCTTGGTTATAAAATTACCAATAAATTTCTTGTTTATTTGTATATATGCAATTTTCGAAAAACCATGACGTCTTATGATTATTAATCTTTTCAACTAGCGAACACAATGATGAAAGAAAACCTCATTATGTTCACAGGATCGGGATCCGCGTTTATTGGTACTAACGACTCGATATTATTATATACAATATTATGGAGAATTTTTTTTTGTGTTAAATTAGATTTTTTAAACATAACGATAATATTGATGACATATTATTACATATTATAATTTACTTTTCTGATGCATAAATAACATACTACATGTTTTATAAACGAATAAAAGCTAAAGTTAAAAAGGGATAATCACGTGTATCGCATTAATTATGAATGTTTTGAAAAGTCGAGGATGATAGCTTAAGTACCTTTTTCGAAGCATATTAATTAATTAGTGTTTGAAAAATCGATTACTTTTTGTTGCGATTCGAGGTTATTACGGATGGAAGTACGGTGTGTATCGTAAAATTTCTCTCTATCGATATTATTCTCGAACATGGTTTAGCGGATAAATCTCGCCTTTGAGCCTTCCCAATTCTATTATTCCTTGATCCACACTATTCTTGATCTCGATATTACCTTCCAAGGATAATTCTCTAAAGACATTAAACTTGATCTTGATCTTTAACTTGTGAAAAACTCGGTGAGATATGTTGAAATCATTTTCAATTTTCGGGGTCACTAGATTCTCTTCGAGCGATGGTATGTCGGCATCGACGTTAAATAGATATTCGGTACTCAAGTTTTTGGGATCTTTAAGCAAAGGGGTTAATTTATCGCCTTTAAATCGTTTCCTCAAGATTTCACGGGTGGTGACATTTTCCGAGAAATCTAATCCTGGCTTTAATTTTTGATATTCCTTGATTTGAATGGTAATCTCTTTGATTGACAAACGGGGAGTTGGCAAAATCAATCGGATCGGAACTCGGATTGAAGTATTCATATCATATGACGATTGATTTAATAACACTTCGTGCTTGATTTTGTCAATGGGGGAATTTGGGGAATTCTCGTCCGTTCTATTATGATTGGATCTGATCATCCTGATTGGTTTTTCTAATTTCTCGCTCGGAAGACTCCATCTATTTATCAAAACCTCCGCTTGAACATTTGTGCTGGCTGTTGTTCCTTGCGCATAGATTTCAGCGATTAATTTATACACTATTCCACCATTCTTGTATCCACCCGAATGGTAAGCAGCCTTAAACGAAGCAGGCAGATTGTCATCAAGGGTAAAATTGAATCTCAAATCCAATTGGGTGATCGCAGGTGCATTATTGCCCATGTTGGGAGCTTCCCATAACACCATGGATCTTTTAAAAAACGTCACAGATTTGCTAATGGGTGTGTCGTCGAGAAGTGTATTTCCAAGTTCGTCGACATATTCGCAATCCTTGATGATCATATTATGAGTTTCGACCCCGGTCAAGGTGATGTTAATTTTGTTAACGTGCAACGGGGATTTGTTGGGGTATCGCAGAT